GAGCATCAGTTCTCATCTTTCGGCACCCTGGAGCGCCTTCTGACCTGGTCGGCGCACCACACCCAGGTGGAGAGGACGGTGAGTCCAAAGACGAGCCCCGGCCAGGGCAGGTCCGAGGACGCGGGGTCTCGGAACATGTGGAAGGCGTCGGCGCGAGGGAGGTGACAGGTGGCGTTGGCCACCGTCGCCGTGGGAACGGACGACATGTAAAGCTGCGTCAGACCCTCGTACCAGCCCACCTTGGAGAACGCTGGCAAAGAGAAACACGCTTCATTTGGACAAAACATGACAAGTATATGCGCACCCCGCACAGCCCTCATCTCTTCTGCTTGTCTGCCTCCCTCCCTCCCTCCCTCCCTCTAATTGTTTGTTCATGAAGCTGACAGCCTGCGCTATGAATGAGTTTTGATATCGGTTTCATTTGCAGAGACGAGTCCGATACCTCCTTCCCGAGTTTGGGAGCTCGAATCGGGAGGGTAGCACATGGGAAGGATTGCCGAAAATGTTGTTGGCCTGTTGAATAACACAGACTGGACGTATATGTCCTGGGGAGCAGGGGGTGGGGGCTGCCCGTCGACCTTCCCTTTTCCCTTCTCCGGCCACTCCGCTTTCCCCTCCCGCATTCCAAATAAAAACACTGCTCGGAGGAGCGTGAAGGCTCCTCCCACCATGATGACGGTTTGGAACGCGTCGGTGTAGATGACCGCCGACAAACCTCCTGTGAGAACGGCAGGTCACATGACAATGGACTTGTTTACTCGTTAGGCGCTACAATCGGACCGCGCTCGATTGAGCGGTGCTTGGACAAGAACCGGAGATGTCCTGTCGCCTGCGGGCCCCCTTCTGCTGCCACATTAAAATGAATGTACCCGTGTTATGTGTGTGTGGGTGTGGGTACCTGCCACGGTGTACACGCACGTGATCACCAGCAAAATCGCAATGGACACGCACAGATTCCAGCCAAAGGACACTTGGATGAAGAGCGCACCGGAGAAAAGGTCCGTCTGCAACCCACATGCCGCAAATCTTCACTCGCTGTTGGAATGGGCGGATGAGGGGGAGGGGCTATGTGCGCGGGTCGTACAGATAGTTTGGTGAAGATGTAGAGGACCAGGGACAGGACGGACAGGTACACCTGGATCCTGCGTCCCCCGAAGCGCTTGGCCAGGTATTCCGGCATGGTCACCACCCCGGCCGCGACGTACACCGGGATGAAGATCCAGCCCAGAGCCACCAGGACCCACGCCGCCTACGCGCCGGGCACACGTACGCACCCACGCACGCACGCACCCACGCACGCGGGGGGAGGAGTGTTTAAGGCCCGACTGGAGAAGAAGGTGACCACCTTTTCCCGTTTTTTTTTTTTTTACATTCAACTCGAAGCCGCCCACAGCGATGCCGCCCGCCGCTGCCGTTCCCGCCAACCCGACGAAGGCGCCGCTTCCGATGTTACTCGACATCAGAGACGCTCCAATCTGAAAGGTGAAGGAATGAACAAATGAATGGAGGGTCACGCGCTTTCCTGGAGGGCGGGTGCAAAAATAAACGCGCGTATGACGGAATGGCTGAATGACGACTGGACGAAGGAACAAATGAATGGGGGCGGATGTTCCGGGTCGTCGTACTCACAGGCCACCAGGTCATGGATCGGCCGGCCAGGAAGTAGCCGCCCACCGTGCTGCCATTGGCCTTCGCGGACGCCTGAGGGCGAGACGGACGACCACATATGGACGCAACATTAGGTACGCCGGAGCAAACCGAACCGCGCCGAATGAGCAGACGAGACTAAACTGCCCCAGACCGGACCGGAGTGTACCGCACAGCTAATGGCTTTCCATTTTGGGAGTACCCGTGAAAATCCAAGACCCAACCGCAGCGCAGTAAAGCCCCGAATGATCGTCAGCAAGTATTTGCGCTTCACGATGTCTGACCCCCGGGAGTGATCGGGCGCATGCGTGTGCGCGTGAGTGGACCGACCCAGATTCCCACGGCGACGACCAGGAGCAGGTAGACCACCACCACCGCGATGTCGGCGGTCTCCATGGCGGCCGGTCCGGGAGGCGTCGCCGTGGTGACGGCAGGGATGCTCTCTGAAAAACCAGGAAAGACTTCCTGCTGACATCTTCGCATGACTCAATGCCGCGCCTTTCGCGACTTGGCTTTCCGCCCGATCGGTGAGCTGCAACAACAAGTTGTGGAGCCCGATGCTCGCCAAGTGTCGCAGCGATCGGCATCAAGCGATCGCAGCGCATTGGCAACGGATGGATCAATCCAATGAATAGACGCATCAATCGCCGGGGGCTGAACGAGTGGATTCGGGAGCCCACGTGGAAACGGAAGAATGACTCCACGGAACAATGACCGGACTCATGGCGTCTTTCTGGAAGCGTGGTGTGAGCGGGCGCTCTCTGGTGGCTTGATGAGAGGACTCAACACGACGAACGCAAACCGCCAGCTTACAGCTTACATTGTTTTCCTAAAATCCGGGACAGTATATTTGTTTACCTTTCATATAGATGAAAGTACAGTTTTTAAGTAGAGCTAAATATGATTGAACCTTTTTGATGCAACACAAAAAAAAACACTCAAATTTGTTTTTGAATTCCTCTCCATTTTAACGTAACAGTTTATGGGCAAACCATTTGCAGTTGAGTGTTTTTGACGGAGCCCCAGACATGTCATTTGAAACAAAACAACCCTACTTTGTGCGCACGAACTACTCATTCGTGCACATCATTTCGTACTTTGTGCGCACGAACAAGTTGAGGCGTCCACACGAAGTCGCGCTGATCCCTTCTTGGACGAGAGGGTCCCCAAATCGAGCGCACCTTCACCGACCTCGTCGGTCCCTTCCAAACCACAAAAATGACTGCATGGGACGTTTTGATTTGACCCCAAATGTAAGCAGCGATGTTATGACGGAGAGTTTTCAGCACCATCCCTCCCAAAGCGTTGCCGTAAAATCGAGCCCGGCGTCCGAGTCGCACCTCCGCCGGTAAAGCGAGCTGGTGGCTCTCTTCAAATGTCCCTCGGGGATGAGGATTCCTTGCGCTGCCGAACTTCTCACGGTGTCCGCGTAACTCACCCGGCGCCTCAAATAAGCTTCCATCGCGCCGTCCCCGTCCGTTACGCCGTTCTGGTGCTTCAACTTTGAAAGGAGGTGCGCGGGATTGTTCAGGTGACCCGCAAGGTGCCCCGGCATCTTCCTCCGCACTTTCGAACTATTTTGTGCACGCGATATAGTCGTCCATGAGCACCAAGTAGTAGTTGGTGCCCGCAAAGTAGTTCCTCGTGCGGACAGAATAGTGCACAAAGGAGGTTTTTTGGGGGTCCAAATGTCATGTCTGGGACTCCGTGACATTTTTGAGGAATGAAACCTCTCTCGGGTTTTCACGAGGCTACTTGGGAAGCAAAGTACTTGGTCGCAGGTGGCGCTTGGCGCAAAAGGCTCGAGGACTCTCCCGGCTTTCCAAAGCGGATCGCTTCGTGGGCGGGCGAGTGCGGACGGGACACTGGATCGACGTCGCGATCGATTGACGAATAAAAGGAAACGACGGATGGATGCGTGGTCAAGGCACGTTGACAAGGACGCGAGCGGATCACATCGAGATCAGTCGTGGCCGTATCGCATCGCGTCAACAATCGGCGGCGTGCGATTGGAGCCCACCTCCTGAAAGCTGCCATTCCCCCGAATTACTTCACGCGGTCGAGAAATGACGGCGTTTCTTCGGAAGATATCCTCATGTTGACATGCGCGCGCTCCTCTCCTCTCGGCGCGCCGCGAGGGTGCGCGCGCGCACACGCGCGCACACACACACACACACACACACACACACACACACACACACACACACTACATCCCACTTGACGACCGTTTGGACTTCAGAACCGGAACGCATTATAAAACAATAAACAGACACTGGACCGCACGGTCATCGCAGTTTTGTGATTAATTACGGGCGACTTCATTTGTGCGGCTGAACGAAAAGTAACAAAGAAAAAAAAATCAAGCCAAAGAGAAAAAAAAAGAAAAGAAAGAAAAGAACACGATGAAGGGACAATTGAAAATGGACTACCGGTAGGTTCCAAAAAATTAGGAGCAAAACAGAGTGAAAATAAAAGGCATAAGCAAAAGGAAAAAATGGAAATCAATAAACTCAAGGAAGAAGCTGAATAACAAACAAGGAAAAGAGGAAAAAAGGACAAACTAGAAGTATTTAAAGACACGAAAGTAACAATAGGACATCTATCCATTTTCGGAGCTGCTCCATCCTCACAAGGGTCGGGGTGCAGGTGGGGGGGGGGTACCGGAGCCTACCTCAGCTGTCAGCAGGCAGAAGTGTGGGGGGGGGGGGCACCCTCAACGGGTTGCCAGCCAAACACACACAGACGAACAACCAGCCGCGCCGCACTCACACTCACACCAAGGGACAATTTAGAGTGTTTTGGGAATGTGGGAGGAAACCGGAGTACCCGGAGAAAACCCACGTGGGCCCGGGGAAAACATGCAAACTTCACACAGAGAGGCCGGAGCCGGAATCCAACCCTGCACCTCTGCACTGTCAGGTCGATGTGCTAACTAGTCGACCGCCAGGCCGCCGAAAGACAGGACAGCCCCGGACAGTTTGACTTTATTCTCGCATCTGGAGGGGGAAGAAAATACTCAAGCAAAAATAAATAAATAATTAAACGACCAACAAATAAAGTTGAGGCCTTAAAGGAAAAAAAAGATGAAAGAAATATTTTTCCTTCCTAAGGCTGTTTTTGCACTTCATCGTTGCACTTAGTGAGAACCCCCCAAAACAAGCAAAAAACCTCATTGGAAAAAATGCAAAGCACAAAGTCAAGAACATCAAGCAACTGTGCATCAAGCGAGTGTGCAGGTGCCCGGCGGCAAGAATGTTGCGTCCGGCGCCGGCTCTCTTCCGCTTGCAGCGACAAGACCACCGGCGGCGGCTCCACTCGGACCCCCGAAACGCCACGAGAGAATCTCCACTGACCTTCCGTGACGACAGACATGCTGCAGCAGCGCTCCTCACCGTCGTCGTCGTCGTCTTCTTGTTTGCGCGGCATACGCTCGGTAATTATCAAGGAGAGTTTGACCGTGCCGATGACGTCACTTGTCGCACGCGCGCATGCTCGTCAAGTCGGAACAAAGAGAAAAGCGACGGCGGCTCGACTCGTTTGGTAACAAGCAAAGAAATGGGACTTTGTCATCATTCAACTTTATTACTTTACGATTCGCATTTATCAGAGGACACATTGTCAAAAGTTCCCGAGCCGGTTAGAGCTTCGGCGGTCCGATCAGTCTCCAGCCCTCCGTCTTGGAGACTTTGCCGAAGAAGGCCAGCAGTCCCAGACCCAAACACGCCGAGGTGCCGGTGGCCGCGCTGTGGGCTGCATGAGCCCGCGCGCACACACACACACACACACACACACACACACACACACGGGAAAAGACGTCAATAAGAATCCACAAGTTCAGACTGGTGACGAGCCTTTGGCTTCACGCTGCAAGTTCAACGGAAACGGAACGACGACTTGTCGTGTCATACCGAGATGGCACAACAGTGTCGGCGCTCGCACTAATAAACAACAAACCGGTCGCACTGATGATGTCACCCGTCACTTTGATGTCACTGCGCCGACAGTCACTTCGGCACCAGACGTGACGCCGATCTCAATCGTCGAGTCATCGGGATGTCACCATTGCAATGATGTCACCGCACACCACGGCAGTCCCCAGAAAGGATGTCGCCCGTCGTCACGGCGATGCCACTCGACGTGAGAACGGCACCGCGGGTCGCCGGCCGCGCGCAAAAAGAAGGGCGCCCGCCGCTCGGCCCCACTTACTTCTGGCGCCCAAGAAGATGCCGGAAGCGCAGCCGCCCGCAAAGTAGTTGAGCGGATCGTCCGGAGCCTGGCGGGCCTGAGCGCTGAGACACGTGGCCATGCCGAAGATGGCGCCCATGGCGGCTGGGGAGACACACAAGGCCGACATCAGCGCGCGCCAAAGCGGGACAAAATGCGCCAAAGCGGACAACGCGCGAGTCCAAGTCCTTACCTTTGAGGACTCGCCAGCAACAAGTCCCGATCGTTGACGCGGCACCGCGAGACAACCGACAACAGCGATCGAATCGGGCCGATATCGGACCGTCGCGTCGGCCGCCCAGACCGCAGGAACCGACGCGTGGCTGACAGAAGCTTTGCGACCGAGGTGGAGCGCGCCTTGTTCGGGTGCGGCGATTGACAAGGCCATCGACACGCTGCGCTAACTCTCGCTCGCTTACCGGATTCTCTCGACCGCAGGGGGTGCTGAAAAGTCTTCACTTGACTCCGGAGTGGAGCCATCGAGGCCCCGAGCTGCCAAATCTGTCGCCGCGTGACTCGGACGAGCGCGGCGCGAGACTCGCCGATGTTATGCGGACACGCCGCTCACAAAGAGGTGAGGCGGACATCAAAGGGGAAGGGTCAGCGCGAAAGAAGAGGCTAAAGGCTCGCCCGCCAGTAGGCGGAGATCACGCCGGCCGGCGCGTTGGGTAAAACGACCTCGGCCCCCGCAAAACGACACCTCTGCAGACACGCCAACGGAGCGCAGTTCAAACTTCAAGCCATCGGTTACGCCGGTTTTCCTTTCCTCTCGAGTGCCGTGCGGGAAGCGGAGTGGACTTGCCGTACCTGGCCGTATCGGACGCCGAGCGCCGTACTGGCTCATTGGGTAAATTTGCGCAACCTTTGGTGCCGCAGTTTCACGCCGCGGTTCGGTCAAACAAGACCGCAGTCGCGTTTGTGCTCCCGTACAGCCACGACAAGAGTCACGGCGGCGCTCCGCGAGCGCGCCAAGCGCCCGTCCGGCAGTCACGTACCCATGGTGGCGGTGACGTTTCCGGCCCGCTGCACAGCTTCCAGTGCCGTTTCGGGCTGGAAGGCGACGAGGTGGTAGGCCGAGCCCACCAGGCCTGCAAAGACACGCCACACGCAATCGGTTACGCCTTTGCGCTCAAAGGCTGCGCATGATTATTCACGATCTCCCTCCTTTGATCGTGTTTACGCAAACGTGGGACAAATATGCAGCCAGTCAAATTGCGTAGCATTCGTGAGATGAATTCCCTCCACGTAATCCACAAAACGAGAGGATCATTAACTATACAAACCAAGTCTCACCCCACCCCCTTTTTGAGACCAGAACATGTTCAATATTTGCTATGTGTGGGAAAGCAAACAGGGTGGCAAATATGGCGACGAATGTCTATGAGTAGCGTGTGGAAGCTTATCCGGATGCATAATTCATCATTTTAATCCAGTGGTGGGACTTAATCAGGTGCAAACACTGACAACGTATTTCGGGCTTTGGAACTTCAGTTGTTGTTTGTTTTTCAAACAACTTTGACTCCCTGCTTGAAGAAACACACGATACTTTCTGTACTTTCTTCTTGGCGAGGGTCTGCAGCTCTTGGTTGGGGTTTGCGGTGGAGTGAACCCCGGCGCACTTGGCTGCCGCTGCCTCACCGGCTTGCTTACGATTGGACGGCTTCTCTGAAGTGACATGAAGCCAGAGCCATTGATCGCTTCTTTCACGAAAGCTTTGACCTGCCGACTCGGGACACATCAAGTCTGCACGCCCTTCGCTCTCTTCGCTTCCTTTCTGACAACTCTGCAGACAGTAGCGCGCGGCCGAAACCTCTGCCGTTCCAAGTCGGCTCGACCTTCGGCGCCTTTCGCCGAAGGTCGAGCCGTCGCGGGTCTCGTCCAAACCTCCTCCTCAAGGAAACCGCCTCAATAAAATCCAGTCGGTCCGACACTCTGCGCCCGCCACGTCCGCCGCACGGCAAGGTTGGCTGACGCGAACCGTCCGGGGTTCGTCGACGTCCGCGCAAAGCTCCCGCCTCTGGTCGCCGGGGCGGTCTCGCGATAAGTCTGGCCACTCTCAACTCCCGTTTTCTCCACCTGTGAATCAACATGGACGCAACTCTCTGGGCCGGTATCTACCGCCCTCCTGGATACCACGCGGCTCTCCGAAACCGTCTTCGCCGTTGACTTGTGCCATCTTCTCTTCACTACCTCCCAACACGGTATGGCTCGGCCAGTCTCATATTCGGATGGACATTTCCAAAGACCACAATTCCCCGCCAACGATCGTCCGGGCTGAATAACTTGACAGCAACTGTCCCACCCGCTCAAAGGGACGTCCCCTGGATCTGGTCTGGGCTTCTGGCAACACTCCATCCAACTTGGACTCTTTTCAGATCGCACATCCAACACATTTGGCCTGCCTTCTCCAGTGTCACCCTCCCCCGTGTGGACACGTGAGCAAAAGAACAGCAGCCCAGCAGACGCCCTTGCCTCTTTTATTGGCAGCCTCCCCAGCCTGGGCTCTCGATCCACCCCTGCTGAACTTGTTCCAGACTACAAGAAATCATCTCCATCGCCTCCTCAGTATGCTCCATCCATCCATTCTCTGGTGCTTTTGTCCGGGGTGCTGATTTTCTCCGTAACCTGGCACCATTAAAAACCAGATAGGCCGCTTTCACCACGTCCGCGCCCCGGTCGACCCCTCAGCTCTGAGGGGTCCATCGGCAGCTTGCACCTTCGTCTTGCCCGAGTTCATCTCCCCGGCTTGGCCGTCCGCTCGAGTTGTCGTCCGCCTCCTGTGGTGAAAATTTCCCAAACCATCCGCCACAGTATTGGGTCTGGTGTCTCTCAACTTCCTCTTCACAATCTCTCACAGATTCTCGATGGGGTTCAGGTCAGGAGAGTTGGCGGGGCAATTGAGCACAAGTCACACCGTGGTGAGGAAACCATTTCCCGCTGGTTCTGCCACTGTGAGCAGGTGAAAAATGAAATGTTCATCTCCCTCAAGCTTTTCAGCAGACGGAAGCATGAAGTGCTCCAAAGTCTCCTGATAGCTCGCTGCGTTGACCCTGCCCAACACCGGGAGCTGACATTGCACCCCAGACCATCACTGACTGAGGTCACTTGACAATGGACTTCCGGCATTTGGGCATTTCCTTCTCCTCGGTCTTCCTCCAGACTCTGGCACCTTGATTTCCGAATGATTTGCTTTCATCCGTAATGTTTTTTATCATGACATTGTGGAAAATAATTGTATAAATAAATAATAAACTTTTTCACAGTAGGCTAATTTTTTGAGAAGGACCTGTATTTATTTGACACAACTACCTGCACTTTTACGTTCAGACGTGCCGTACTTTAACCGCCACTTTCGATTTTTTTTGTAATTAATCGTTTTTTTGTTTTTGAAATCAATCGCACACGCCGGTAAACATTCCGCTCGTCTTTAGCGACGCGCTAGGCTCATTCGGAGCTTTAGCATTAGCTACGAGAACGGGACGTGACTTGGCGGCGTTCGATTCTCGGCAACTTTCAGCACGCGGAGCGTCGAAGGCAAATTGTTGCCCGTGTCAAATATTCACCCAGAGTCGTGGCCAGCTTGGTTGTTATCCACGTTTTCTGCACGCAGTCGGTGCCCTCGGGAATGTCCCAGTAGCCCATTGCTCCCGAGACTGCGAGCAAGGACGAGCTGGTGAAATCTCGCGAGGCTTCGCGCAATAACGGAAGCGACGTGCGGCGCATTACCGCCACCCGGTGCACGCGAACGGAACTTTTGGGCAGACGATCCCGTTCAAGTAAAAACATTGGTATCTGCTATCGTGTTATTGTTGACTTTATTTTTAGGTAGACTGAACTAAATAGGCGACTAAAACATCAACTTTAATCACCCCCGCCCGAAAAAAAAGGGGGGGGGGGAAATCAGGAAAAATTAAATTCCACAACTGAGTAATTCAGTCTTTCCAACATTCTCAGCATCTTTAAAGATTAGAAATAAAACTGAATTCACTTTTTTGTCTTTAAACTGTTGATATTTAGCATCCAAGCTATTTGTCTTTCTACTTGTGTTCAGAGAAAAATATTCCATCGGTTTTGCTACCAATTACCAACAACGTTTGTTTGAATGAATTGAAAAACCATGAAGTCAAGTCAGGAAACACAAATGACAGCGCTGTGTTGAAAGGCTCTTCAATGGACACACGCACACGTTCACAAAATAGACAAGATGTTTGGAAACAACGGGCCGTAGAAAACAATTGGTCTCAAGTCTGCACACTTTTCAAACAGATTCTAATCTTGACCACGACCGTCTTTTCTTTATTTCTTCTTGTTCCAGAATTGGCTGTACTTGTCCACCTTGAAATCGTCCTCGTAGTGGACGGTGGTCTCTTTGGCGGTCTTCTTGACTTCGCGCTTCTTTTGACGACTACGACGCTGCTCCTCCGACAACGTCGACAGATCTACTGGCATCTGGCAAACAGACACGTTCAGCATGAAGACAAACGTGTGCAAACAAGACAAGACAAGCTGATGCGTAGGCGGCGCCGGTCACCATGAGGATGCGTCTGGGTTCTGTGTATCGGATGTTGACGGTGGAGCCATCGGGCCGCACCAGCATCACCGGGAACAAGCGTTCGTATTTCTGTCGACTGCAGCGCACCACCGACGTCCTTATCCACGTTTTCTGCACGCAGTCGGTGCCCTCGGGAATGTCCCAGTAGCCCATTGCTCCCGAGACTGCGAGCAAGGACGAGCTGGTGAAATCTCGCGAGGCTTCGCGCAATAACGGAAGCGACGTGCGGCGCATTACCGCCACCCGGTGCACGCGAACGGAACTTTTGGGCAGACGATCCCGTTCAAGTAAAAACATTGGTATCTGCTATCGTGTTATTGTTGACTTTATTTTTAGGTAGACTGAACTAAATAGGCGACTAAAACATCAACTTTAATCACCCCCGCCCGAAAAAAAAGGGGGGGGGAAATCAGGAAAAATTAAATTCCACAACTGAGTAATTCAGTCTTTCCAACATTCTCAGCATCTTTAAAGATTAGAAATAAAACTGAATTCACTTTTTTGTCTTTAAACTGTTGATATTTAGCATCCAAGCTATTTGTCTTTCTACTTGTGTTCAGAGAAAAATATTCCATCGGTTTTGCTACCAATTACCAACAACGTTTGTTTGAATGAATTGAAAAACCATGAAGTCAAGTCAGGAAACACAAATGACAGCGCTGTGTTGAAAGGCTCTTCAATGGACACACGCACACGTTCACAAAATAGACAAGATGTTTGGAAACAACGGGCCGTAGAAAACAATTGGTCTCAAGTCTGCACACTTTTCAAACAGATTCTAATCTTGACCACGACCGTCTTTTCTTTATTTCTTCTTGTTCCAGAATTGGCTGTACTTGTCCACCTTGAAATCGTCCTCGTAGTGGACGGTGGTCTCTTTGGCGGTCTTCTTGACTTCGCGCTTCTTTTGACGACTACGACGCTGCTCCTCCGACAACGTCGACAGATCTACTGGCATCTGGCAAACAGACACGTTCAGCATGAAGACAAACGTGTGCAAACAAGACAAGACAAGCTGATGCGTAGGCGGCGCCGGTCACCATGAGGATGCGTCTGGGTTCTGTGTATCGGATGTTGACGGTGGAGCCATCGGGCCGCACCAGCATCACCGGGAACAAGCGTTCGTATTTCTGTCGACTGCAGCGCACCACCGACGTCCTGTTGGAGTTGAGGCGAGCGGGCAGAGTGCGGGCGAAGGATGCCGACCTCAAAAAACACCTGAAGAAAGGTCACAATCAGAACAACGCTGTCAGCCGTTCAAAGGGGTGTCCATCGGATTTACAAACACCTCAAGGACAAGATTTAAGACCCTGGAGTAAAGCGGATTATACTACTGTAATTACCTGTTTGGAAAGAAGATAAACACTTTCTTCCTTTTTTGAAGCCATTTTGTTTCCTGTAAAATTATGTGACGTGTAAAATGATGTAATTTAACTGGATGTTTCAGCAACTGAACATTATTATTATTATTATTAAAGAAAACCTTGTTCATATCTGTGTTAAAGGAAGATCATAGTGAAATTCAAACCAATAGAGACTAAGTCAGGGGTGTCACACTCATTTTGGCGCGGGCCACATTGTACTGACCGTTTCCATTGGAGGGCCATTATGACTGTTGAAAACATAGAACGAAGTCAAGAAAAATGGTCCATTGAACGATTGTTAAGTTAGTGTAACGAGGGGTTTGGTCACAAGAAAATGCTGATAATATATCGCTTATTTATTACATTTGAGAAGTTGAAATCTTGTTGCAGATTTTAGCAATCGTTATAGAAGTTAACATGTTTGATTTGCTTTCGCGGGGCAAATAAAATGATGGCCGGGGGCCTCGAGTTTGACACCTGTGGACTAAGTAACATTAGTGGTCCGCAATAGTTGTCGCCAAGCCTCATGAGGACAAAAAAGCGTGTGATCTCGCACGACTGGCATGATGCAGGCTGGCTTGCGTGCTTCCAACTGGGTGACGAAAGAAAACAATCCTCCTTTCTTCTCGATGACTTTGAGGTGAACCTTGCTACCAATCGTGACATAACTAAAATAAAATAAATGTCATCTTACCAAGAGAACAAGAGATGCGTTTTGTTGATCAATGACATGCTGGCGACGGGCGTCCAGCGTTCAGCTGCATTTGGAAGGGCGCTCGTCTAACCCGGAAGCCGGCGGACAAAAGGTCCCTGACGCACGACGGAACCTAAGAGCGCCTCTTTCATACTCATGTCCCAACTCCATCATGTACACAGCATCTGACTGTCCCTCAAACATTTTAAAAGTTCCCTCGCACACCTGAATTCGAGAATTCGGAGAAGCCCAAACACCTCTCACACGCATTGGAATCCCTTATACGTGAGTAAGTATATACGTGACATCATTCAGTCTCGTATGACCAACCCTGAGTCTTCTCATTACAACTTCCTATTTTCCATAACTTTCCTTAATTACTTTCGTCATCAGTGATTTTTGAATTTTACAATACAGTTATTGAATTCACATTGTAGCCTACGAACGCTCTTTTCCGATATTATCCGAGCGATATGACCCGGAAGTACTTGGCGTCAGGATGGTTGAAATTCGACAAATGCTTCGGAAATGTGCCTGGGTGCAACCTTTAAGCCTCCTTTACGAAAGGATATTACCCCACATTATTTACGCAGCAAACGGGGCATCGACTTAGTCCACAAACTCCACGACGGCGAAGGAGAAGAAGAAGATACGCATACAGTACATGGCGGCCATGTTGGCAGGGGCGAATTTCACTTCTAAGGCAATGCAAGAACACGTTCTTCCTTGCTAAAGTTATTCCGAGTTCTTTTGCAGTAATTGTACGAATCACGGGCGTATGCAGCAACCCGTGCCGGCATCATCGTTGTCGTCGAAATTCACGCAATTCACTGACGACTTTGCCCCTTCTAGCTTAGCCTCGCCCTCGGCACACAGCTCTCGAAGTAGCGTCGTATCCAGGAGGTTACGTTCCGGCCGTTTTTTTTTTTCAAAGCCTGTCTTGTGACCTGCAAAGCTTTGAGGAACACCTTCCTTGTGGTGAGTATCATCGTGTCTCGCTAAGAAAAGTGGTGATCTACGAATGAACGTCTACTTACGACTTTGTCGCGTTTACTGAGCCGATCGTTTTATTATAAAGTAAGTGGGAGATAGTAGTCGCGTGACTTTAGATCGTTTGAATGACTTTTCTTGCGTGCTTTGCTTGCCTTGTTACTTGTGTTTATGTGCGAAGTAGTGCAGCGATGTGGCTCCCGCAGCAGCTGTCGCTGCTGCCGCTGCTGCCGCTGTGGCTGCTGATCGACATCTCAGGTGACTTCGGCAGCATTCCAGGCGAACGGCTTTTCCCAGAGAAAAGGTGCAGAAAAACTCGTGCTTGACATGTCGGCATCTCGTCTTTGTAAGGCAGAGTCGCAAGTGTTGCTCTCTGTTCCGGAGGAGGTGACGCTCCAAGAATGGACCAGTGGCAACCTGACCATGACCTCCAGGTGAGCACCTGACCCCCACGAGTGGACAGACGCTTCGATTGCCACCCTTCATACCTCATGGCAATCCGCAAAGCTTGAATGAAGAGCAAAGCTCGCCATCCTTCACATTTGAGCCCGAGTGGCCGTACGCCCCGCCCTCGGGTGGCTTGGGAGTGATTGCTCTGCGCTGGTTTCCAGCCTGGCGCTACCGCGGCCGCTGGTGGTGCGCCTGAACGTCACCTACAGCTCCAAGAGCAACTCGTCAGAGATCATCGGCTTGCCGCAGCAGGTGAGGCCTACCCGCATGCCCCCCTTCCCCCCCCACAAAAAAAAAACCTACAACAACAAAAAAAAAAAACTCCACCCACAATCGCACGGCACCACCGCTCTTTAGGTGACGCTGCCCATCGCGGCCACGTCGGTCACCTTCACAGTGACGGCCCGCGCGAGCGGACAGGTGACGGTGTACCTGATGTGCGACGCCGCAGACGGCTGCGGGTGAGTGGCGGGTGTCGGCGGAGGAGGAGGAGGAGGGGGCGGCAATTTCTGACGTCCGGTCCCATGTCTCGGCAGCTCGGAGCCCCGTCTGCGCTTCATGGTGGTCCGCAGCAACGCGGTGGCGCTGCTGAGCGAGGTCGTCGGCTGGGTCTACTTCCTGGCTTGGTCCGTGTCCTTCTACCCGCAAGTCTGGGAGAACTGGAGGCGCAAAAGGTGCCTCCACTTGGAAGTCGCGTGACTCGCCGTGTGACCTGAGACTCCGCGTGACTCCTGTCGTGCCACGTGACGCGCGCCGCGACGTGCGCTTTCTACGCGACGCGCCGTGTTGACGCCGTGAGACTTGCAAAACGATGCTAAGAATCGTATGATTGCGTGACGCACCACGGCACATGCTGCTCGACACGCACCACATGACAAACCACCACCACACGCACTCGTCTTGCCGCAAGGCACGCCGCGCGGCAATGCGACTCCACGACAGCGTTTCACACGCCGCTGCTGCGCGACACGCCACCAGGTACAAGCTGGTTGTTTAGCGCGCCGTGCGCCGCGACGCGCCGTGCGACACGTGGTGTAAATTTTAAACCGATGTCATTCCAGCGTGGTGGGCCTGCACTTTGACTTCCTGGCACTCAACCTGACCGGCTTCTTCGCCTACAGCGTCTTCAACATCGGCCTCTTCTGGGTGACGCCCATCAAGGTGACTGACCCCTTTGCCCGCCTCATTTCTATTCTTTGGCTTTTGACTCAGACTTGATTTGGATTTGGACTGTTTTTGTGCTTTCTACCGTCTTTGTTCTTGTTTTATTCTTGATTGTTGGATAGCTGATCTGTGCTCCACGTACAGCACTTTGTATACAGCGGCGGTTGTTTTCAAGTGCTCGACACGATAAATACAGTCGAGTGGCGTTGAGCCTGTGGCGCGACACGCGACTCCTCACGCCGTTTCCTGCCCCCAGGAGGAGTTCTTGCAGAGGAACCCGAACGGCATCAACCCCGTCAAGCCCAACGACGTCTTCTTCAGCCTGCACGGCTTCCTGCTGTGTCTGCTCTACGTCGGCCAGGCCGCCGTCTACGAGGTTTGACGACGGCCGCTCGGGCCCAAAAAGTCATCAGCGCTTTGTCGGCCGGGGGGGGGGGGCAAATGCGGACGGGACGGCGGCCCCGTCTGGAGGCGCGGGCACGTGGGGGCGCCGCGTGAGCGCGTGTTTTGCCTTGCAGAGCGGGGGCCAGAGGGTGTCGTGGACGGCCCGCCTGCTGCTGCTGATCGGCTGGTCCTTTGCCGGCGTCACCTTGTTCCTGGCCGTCTTCCGGCGCCTCAGCTGGTTGGATTACCTCTACTTCTTCTCCTACATCAAGCTGGCCGTCACGCTGGTCAAGTACCTGCCGCAGGTTGGTCCTCCCTCCCTCCCTTCCTCGCAGAACGCTCGGACGCGCTCGTGTCAGTGCCGGGGCGGCGCGTTTTGGCCGCTCACCCGACTCCCCGTCCCATCAGGCCTTCTTGAACTACCGGCGAAAGAGCACGGAGGGCTGGAGCATCGGCACCGTGCTGCTCGACCTCAGCGGCGGCCTGCTCAGCATCTCGCAGATGATCTTGGATTCCTACAACAACGGTACGGCGCCTTGGCTAAGAATCCCCCCGCGGGCGTCAGGCAACGACCGGATGAATCCTTTCAGCGCCGTCGTCCGCGTCCCTCCGAATCCCCGCTGAGCGTGTGTCTCTTGTGCGCAGACGAGTGGCACCTGATCTTCGGGGACCCCACCAAGTTCGGCTTGGGTCTCTTCTCGGTGGTCTTCGACATGCTCTTCCTCTTTCAACATTACTGCTTGTATCGCTCGGCCTACCGGCTGATCCGCTGTAGCGAGGTCGAGTGAAGCGCCGCCGCCTCCTTGCACTTCAGGCGCCACAAGGCGTTGGGAAAGACGGACGATTGCGCCTTCCGGATGCAGTTGGGCTGGGCGGCGGCCTCTGCGGCCGTGGACGCTCGAGAAAGGAAATAAAATCATGAATGAGGATGGAGATCGATGATTGTTTTTCACAAATCTTTACGTGGGATAATGAAGATGTTTTTTTGTTTGTTTTTTTTAATGTACATATATAACATTTCCCTGAAGAAAAAAGTGTGGATGTCATTTTTTTTTTTCTGCTGAAGAAAATGACAAATATTTTCCTGAAAAATAAATTCCCGGGTGATAGCGTCTTCCTTGATTTTTCTTTTCTTTTTCCCTTTCATTTTCAGTGGTACATTTCACCTTAGGTCGAGGAAAAAACAACAAAACAGCGGCACGTGTAATGGCCCGCGACCTTCAACTCAACGGGAAGCTGGCTACTTTTCATTTACGGTACTTTGAAATTTTACCTCATCGTCTGCCTTGATTAGCGTCCACGTTTTAAACCAGCTCCTTTTCCGGATTTGATCCGACGGAATTCAAAGTTTGGGCGATTCGTCAAAAGATGTGGAAAATGAAACCGCCCCCAAAGATTTTGGTTTGGTCCGACCCCGTCGCCAAGGCGCGACCTGCTGTTCGTCAAGTAAACAAAGGTGGTTTTTGAGGGACGACATACAACAAAACCCTCCAACCTTTGCACCGACATCCAGCGAGGCTCGCATTTTCATATCGGGATGGCTTCATGCTCTGTTTTGAGCAGATTTCGTCTTTTATGTCTCGTGATGCGACTGCAAAAAGTGGCGTCCTCGCGACGCCTTCGATCCAACTTTGGTGACATCATCAATATAACGAGGGGCCGCATCGTCGGCATGACCGGCGAAAAGGTCGGGATATAACAGGCGACCATGTGACCAACGACATCCACATGACTGGCCGAGCACATGAAGAAGACTCCCCACATTGTCGATATGGTCGGCGATGTCATCCGTCATGTTTTGCGCGGTAGACGACCCGGAAGCGGGCTCGACCGATCCCACAGAAACACTTGCAGGGGGGCTCTGCCAAAACTAATTGGATGGCACTCAAAGTCGTGGAAAGCGCCCGAAACTTGGGGTACAAAACGTCACCGGGCGACCGGTGACATCATAAGAGCGTGCAGTGCCGGAATCGGGACGGGCGGCGACCGCAGGACGTGCGCTACCGACGTCGGAACCGATGGCGGCCTCAGCGGGAAACGAGGACCCCATCGGTAGAGAACACAAGGGCCCCGGATGATGAGAGCGGGGCGGGAACAAAAGCACACGAGGAAAAAAAAGCAAATAGTTATGTCAACAAAAACAGAATCGCGACGGTCATCAGTAAGACCGTTGTGGTCACCGTGACTTCCGACATCATGATGAGTGACGTCGTGGCCGCTGACACGAGCGACACCTTCAATTCAACTTTCACAGGACGAGGGGCATCGTCATCATCATCACCGGAACCAGGTGACATCATCACTATGCCGAATGACATCATCGATTTGACCGGCGATGTCATCAACAGGAGCGGTGACATCGGCGTTCTGACGGTGGACATCGTCGACGTGTACTCTGTGGACACGTTCTGCCGTCTCCGGACGTGTCGCGTTTCACTTTGAGCGGCGGAGGCAATCCAAGTGGATTCATCACCCTGAACGTTTGCTGAGTTCTTGCTGACCGACGTGTTCTCGCATGTGCGGCAGCCTGCAGCGTCAAGTAAAAAAAAAAAAAAAAGAAACGATTTGTGATTTGGGTGCGCTCAGAAAGGCGCGCACAATGCCAAAATCGGTCCGTTTTCTGTGGTGAAGCGAACCTTTGTCACATTTGTTGCCGAACGAGTTTGACTCCCACTTTGATTCGCGAGCATGCGCAGCAGCGGCAAGCGCGAAGTCACCCCGGCAAGCGAGGTCCAACCCTCACTTGACTCAGTCGTTTGTTTCCATGCCACGAGAACCAGAAGAAGAACAAGAACCGGAGCATGGCTGCCGTCCTACGAGGTCAGTGGACAATCGCCGACCCACAGCAAAACTCTGGAACCTTTTCGCCAATAGCGCGCAAGGCGAGCAATTCCAGATGTTCTCGGCTCCGTTTTTTTTTTTTTTGATGTGGCATATTTGCACAACTTGATGCATGACCCTGTACTTGTTCTCAATTCAGATATTTGGTCCCGAGAAACGCAATGGAGGGGGTAGCCTTTTGTTTTCAGGCTCCGCAAAAGGGGTTCCTTTCCATGGGCGAGCGGGCGGGCGTCGGTCTGAGCTCTCCGATCGATTTTTTGTTCCGATTTCGCGCCTCTCAAGAAGACGGGAGATACAATCAGTCAACTTCTGGTCCTCCACATTTCCGAGAGCTTTGGCCACGGGCCGCTAAGGCAGCACTGCGGCGTCAAGACGGCTCCTCTTTGAAAGAGGTTGCGGGCCTCTGCACGTGCCCCGGTCTGAAGAGACACGTTGGGTTCGGCGACGAGGTAGGTCTGGCGCCAAAGCGCTCGGTACCCGCTTTAGAAATGGAGAGGGAAAGTCGTGGAGGCGGCGCCGACCGCAGAGCCCCTTTTGTCAGTGACGGGTGCCACGGCGTTCATCAGGCACCGCCGAGAAGATCGGGCTCGGATGGAAATCGGTGGAATGCAAAGAGGCAGGCAAATCGGAGGCTCTTTATCATCCGCTTTGACTGGAGCTGCCGATCACGTCAACACGACGCTCCCACGGCATGCGTCTGCGCTCTGGAAACAGCCGGGTCGAGCCTCACCCACTTTGGGTCCAAAAGTTGAACCCGAGCGGCGCGTCGGTCCCAAATTGGTTGAGGCCTGACCCGCGTGGATAGATGTCACTTTTCTTTGGCCGCCAAGCATCGGCTCGGACGTGCGCCGTTTGCCGTCGTCTCCCCGCCGCCCTCTCTGAAACACGCCTTCTTTTCTCCACGGTGCCGTTTGCCGAATCCTAACCGTCCCGATCTCGACATCGGCGACGGTAACATTTGAAGCGCTTCGCCTGTAAGAGTTCAACAGATTGTGGCGATATTCGAGCCCAATGGTTTCCATCATCATTCACCCGTGCCGCTGTCCTTGGCGAGCCCTCCTTGGGGGAACACTCGGCCGCGTGCGGACGGCCGAGACCGAACATTCGCAGGGGGGCCGTCGTCGGTGAGCGTCACGCTCCGACGACGCGGCCGGCGCGCCAACGACTGCCGACCGAGTCGGCTCGAAAGGTCGTCGGGGAGCCTTTGATGGTTTCGCCTCGGCGATTGCAGACAACATCTCGGCCGCGGCCGCGGCGACGCCCGACGGGACGGTCGCCATGGAAACCGCCGACATTGCAGTGATGGCGGCGTACCTGCTCCTGGTGATGGCCGTCGGAATCTGGGTCGGTGCCGGCGCCCGGGACGAGTCTCGGTCCGCTCCGCCCCGATCGGCTTGTAATGTCGCGTCCATACGTGGCCGTCCGTCTCGTCCTCAGGCGTCCGTCAGGGCCAATGGCAGCACGGTGGGCGGCTACTTCCTGGCTGGCCGATCCATGACCTGGTGGCCTGTGAGTCCCGCATCTTTGTGACGACCTTCGGGGACACACGTTTCACTCATCCGGCTCATCAGCCACTCGTCGATGTGTTCATTTAGTTCGGCGATTCACCCATTCATCCGCTCATTCATTCATTCATTTGTCAGCCATCCATCCGACCCTGAATTCGGGACTTAGTTCAGTCGTTCATTCATCCTTCAGATCGGAGCATCTTTGATGTCCAGTAACGTTGGAAGCGGGTCCTTCATCGGGTTGGCGGGCGCGGGAGCCTTGGGCGGCATCGCTGTGAGCGGCTTCGAGTTGAATGTAAATGAAAAAAAAAAGCACCATCTTGACTCTTCGAGCATCTTCTCCTCCGAACAGGCCTTACTCCTCCTCCCTGTGTGCGTATGTGTGCCCGGCGCATAGGCGGCGTGGGTCCTGGTGGCTCTGGGCTGGATCTTCATCCCGGTGTACGTCGCGGCCGGGGTGGTGACCATGCCGGAATACCTGGCCAAGCGCTTCGGGGGACGCAGGATCCAGGTGTACCTGTCCGTCCTGTCCCTGGTCCTCTACATCTTCACCAAACTATCTGTACGACCCGCGTGCACACATACACACACACACACACACACACACATACATACACACACATGTGCACATTTTAATCAACACACTGTCATCGTGTGTCACACTCACAGGCAGACCTGTTCTCCGGAGCTTTGTTCATCAAAATTTCCTTTGGCTGGAATCTCTACATGTCGACTGCGATGCTGCTACTGATCACGTGTTTGTACACCGTGGCAGGTACACGCGTGTAGCGCGCGCATCCACGCACTCACACACATTCCCGTAGCGCACGCACGTAACACAAATTGTTTCAGCGTTACGTTCTCAGTTTTTCCGATGTCGTCTTTGACCCGCGGGGATTCCCCTGGGGTCAATCTCGGGACCCCTCCCGTTCAATCCGTACCATTTGGCCGGCTGATACGCAGTCACGCAGCGGCCGACCACAACTGTGCAGACTCGAGTCCGGGTGAATTCTTCCGCATTGGTCCCTCAGACTCACGTGAACCGATTTTGAAGCTGAACAGACCAGTCTCGGGTCCTCGTTGGCAAGTCAGATCCCCCAATGTGTTTTGCGTCTTTTCAGATGAAAAGGCATGTCCTTTGGAACATGGGAAAAGACAAACCGAATTCCAATGAATTCCAGTTGACTTTCCCGAACCGACGTCATCATGCCACAGCGCGGCATCGCCAGTGGCCCGTCCCGCGTCTTCTTTTCTTCCGGGGCTGGTCTGGTCACGGGCCGTCACCGTGGGCGTCGTCCTTTGCCATCTCCGGCGATCTTGGGCGCGCCTCCTCCTCTACGAACGCCCTCGTGACACCTACTGACCTTGTCTTTGGCCTCCCTCTCTCTCTCTCGCCTCCTGCCGCTGAACTCGCAATCTCGGGAACGTGTCCAAAGCATTCATTTAAGATATCTTTTTAGATATTCGAGTCCACCCTCTCCGTTACACATCTCCCTTTGGCCGTCCCTCTGATGTCTCATCCGGTGACTCGTCAAGAGAACGTCAACATCTTCACCGTAAACGACGGCTCGCCGCTTAGTTGCAGAGGAACCCTTAAAACAAGGGCAACTTTGCCAAAAACGCCTTTGGAAAGGTGCACCCACAGTCAATTTGGAGCTGCTCATGAACCATTTGGAGTATCAGCACAGTTTTGGTCTCTTTATGAAATATTTAATACGTGATCATTCTGAATATTTCTCCCATACAGTAAGAATCTGTGTCAGTGCTCCCGTCACTGAACTATGGATGTTCAAAAATAGAAAGAAAAGGTGAATCTTATGTTTGTCGAATTTCTTTTCACAAAATCTGCCTTGAAAATGGATTTCGAATGTGGATTAGGACTTGAAAACACGACAGGATCAAAGCTTGAGGTCTCCCCAAGTTGCGGTTCAAATTTGCCAATTGTAACATGTAGGGTAGCGTTCAAATCTCCAGAAAGTCCGCTTTTAAAAGATGTAGAACATGTTCACACGTGTACTCAGCTGACGACGTGTATCAGCGATTTGTTTTGAGGGCCCTTCGGCGGGCCCTCCTAACTTTAAGGGTTTCATCATCGACATGTTCGAACTTGACGACATCGACCCTTCCTTTCTCAATCCATTTATCTGGGCTTGGGACCCGCCTACACTTTGCACCGGTTGCCGACTTGGGACTGGCTGCGCTCGGTAAACTTCGCGGTTTGTTTGCTGCTCCAAATGCTGCCGCTGCTGCTGCTGTTGCTGTTGAGCGACCTCCGACTGGGTGCCAAAGCGGCTTTGAAAACCTGCAGACCCGGTTGTCGGCTGTTGGCTGGGAACTGCTCGTAGCCCGAAGGCATGCTCAACACCTCCTGGAGGTCGTTCCCAAGTTGGGCTGCTGCTGCTGTCAGGCACTCGAGGAGGCGGAACATCTTTTGCCGCAGGTCGGTCGGGACAGAAGAACCCACGTTAGAGGGGGCTTCGAAGTGGCATCCAGGCAACTTTCCCAAGCATTTTCACAATTCCAACTCCCCTCACTCCAATGGTGGTTGCCATCCGACATGTCGACATGATGTGCTAACGGGCTAATTGTGTGCACGCAGGAGGTTTGACAGCTGTCATCTACACTGACGCATTCCAGACTGTCATTATGGTGGGAGGAGCCCTCACGCTCATGTTTATTGGTATGATGCGCAAGCACACACACGCACACACAGACAATTCTGACTCAGAATACTTTATTAGTCCCAGTAGGGCAATTCAGTTTTACAGTCAACCCGTCTGCAGTACAACACCAACATCAACAACCAAGGGAAATACATACCTACTGTGTGTGTGTGTGTGTGTGTGTGTGTGTGTGTGTGTGTGTGTGTAGCTAGATCTGCACATCCATATTCATCATCCATCCATTTTCTACTCCGCTTCACGTCGCGGGCGCTGGAGGCTACCCCAGCCGTTTTGGGGCAGTGGGCGGGGCGCGCCCTTCGAGGGCTCCATTAGCCTGCCGAGCAGTGTTTTTATTTGGAATGCGGGAGGGGAAAGCGGAGTGGCCGGAGAAGGGAAAAGGGAAGGTCGACGGGCAGCCCCCACCCCCTGCTCCCCAGGACATATACGTCCAGTCTGTGTTATTCAACAGGCCAACAACATTTTCGGCAATCCTTCCCATGTACTACCCTCCCGATTCGAGCTCCCAAACATGGGAAGGAGGTATCGGACTCGTCTCTGCAAATGAAACCGATATCAAAACTCATTCATAGCGCAGGCTGTCAGCTTCATGAACAAACAATTAGAGGGAGGGAGGGAGGGAGGCAGACAAGCAGAAGAGATGAGGGCTGTGCGGGGTGCGCATATACTTGTCATGTTTTGTCCAAATGAAGCGTGTTTCTCTTTGCCAGCGTTCTCCAAGGTGGGCTGGTACGAGGGTCTGACGCAGCTTTACATGTCGTCCGTTCCCACGGCGACGGTGGCCAACGCCACCTGTCACCTCCCTCGCGCCGACGCCTTCCACATGTTCCGAGACCCCGCGTCCTCGGACCTGCCCTGGCCGGGGCTCGTCTTTGGACTCACCGTCCTCTCCACCTGGGTGTGGTGCACCGACCAGGTCAGAAGGCGCTCCAGGGTGCCGAAAGATGAGAACTGATGCTCAACGATCCCAAGCTAAACCAAACAAGATTTCTCCTTTGCTTTCGTCCTCCGGTCTGGTCGAGTCTGACCCGTCCGTGCGTGTGTGCAGGTGATAGTTCAGAGGTCACTGGCTGCACGTTCGCTGAGTCACGCCAAAGGAGGAAGCGTCTTAGGAGGTTACCTCAAAGCATTACCCATGTTCTTCATCGTCATGCCAGGCATGATCAGCAGGGCGCTCTTCCCCGGTAAGACCAGACACATACACACACATGCCCGCAAACAAATGCACTTCTGCGTGCGTTTGTGGTGACTCTGTGCCTTTGCGTGTGTGAAGATGAGGTGGGTTGCGTGGATCCAGCCGTGTGTCGGCGTGTGTGCGGAACTGCGGTGGGCTGCTCCAACATCGCGTACCCCAAACTGGTGGTGGAACTCATGCCAGTCGGTGAGAAGGAGCCCCGCCCCCCTCCACACGCACACGTATGCATTTCCACATGCCCGCGGCGTGTGCCCGTAGGCGTCCGTGGCCTGATGATGGCCGTGATGTTCGCCAGCCTGCTGTCGTCGCTGACGTCCATTTTCAACAGCAGCTCCACCCTCTTCACGTTGGACCTTTACCAGCGAGTCCGACCCGCCGCCTCCGAGATGGAGCTCATGATCGTGGGCAGGTGCCGCTCGCCTTTGCCCGCGTGCGCGTCTGCCTTTGCCCGCGCTTCATTGCAGAAACCGCCCCCGCAGGGTCTTCGTCCTGGTGCTGGTGGTCGTCAGCATCCTGTGGATCCCGATCATCCAATCGGCAAACAGCGGCAAGCTGTTTGACTACGTCCAATCGGTAGCCAGCTTTCTAGTTCCGCCGATCACCGCCGTCTTCGTCCTGGCCATCTTCTGGCCGCGCACCAACGAGCAGGTCCGTCGGCGCTCCTTCCCCTCCAACGCGCGCCGTCGGCCCGGTGTGTTATCCTTCTCCTTTTGCGGGCCA